TTAAACCGATATTGATTGGTGAATCGGATTGGTTGAAGTGTTTATAATCAGTGTACCATTACTAAACATTGCTGAATACCGATTTGCAAAGTGTTAACTAATACAAATAATTTAAATTAAAATGGAGACATGAACTTGAGTGGATTTCTGTGTTTTAGTACTATATCCTTATATAAAATTTTTCCTTTATATATTACACCATTGAGTTTACTGCTTCTATGAATCAGGTGTTCGTCTTGCTGTGCTAATGAGATATGGCAACTTGGACCGATGCATGTATGTGCCTGGTCCTACGTTGTAACTGACTGACTTTTAGTATGCAGCCTTGTTTTGAAGGATTTTCACATGAATTGAACTATTTGATCGTAATGGCGCTGTCCTGTCACGGGTATAAATTCTGAAGTAAAAATAACGACTGTACCAGTTGCTCCGGCTTTTTATGTAATATTAAGTGTTGCTGCTATTTTAATATCATCTTGAGCACATTTTTTATGGGTTATATGCATAAGCATCCATAAATCACTGTGGCCTCATATTGCACCATGTATCAATCAAGTGCATATTTTGTTTAATAAGCAAAGGAACTAAGATCATCAATACCATTTAACAATATTTAGGCTACACTACACTTATCCTCTTGAGAATACTTGTCATTTATAGTATAATGGATCATTGAAAGTATCGCCAAATATCTTTATGAACTTGCTTCTTCCTTTGTGAATGCTAAGCACCATTTCTATTGATGGCACCTCTATACTGGCTGTGTTCGCCTAAATTTATTGCTAGGAGTGGGATAATAGTAATTGGTCATCTACAAAGTCTAAGGTGTTCACTGTATTCCGTGCATCCCCAGATATGTTATGGTCTTCATAGTGCAGTCAGCAGCTGGAAAAAAAGAAGAAAAACGAGAGTAACCAGTCTTGTCTGACACTGGTCTTCACTTGAAATACATCTGTGAGCTACCCTCCCTGCACAATTTCGCAATTCAGTACTTCGTATGAGTTCCGTATAAAAATGAAAATCTCTTCAGGCACTCCATATTTTTGAAAAAATCCACTCTTCCGTATCCTTTCTCATAATCAAGGAAGTTACTGTACAGCGATGAGTTCCATTCGATTGATTGTTCAACATTGAGTTGTAATATCTCGATTCGGCCCGTACGTAATCGATACTTATAAAAGTCTTCACGCTGGTCTCTAGGTTGAGTTACTACTGAATCCTTCGCTCGTTTCAGTTACGCTCTGTTGCAAACTTTGCCTGACTTTGACAACGGTGTAACCCCTTTGTGGGAAGCATCGTGTTCTTCATGACCATAATAAGACAACACCTTTTTTAAAGTTTGTCTTTTCTACCCAGACTATATTCAATGGGTTTCGCTTCTTCCAAATACAGCCAGATTGTTTCGTCTTATTTTTGCGACTATGTTAAAAACTCATTCCGTCTCTCACATTGTTCAAACATTCCACGTTCATTTATTCGTCATTGTTTTCGGTTGTCAGAAAAAGCGTCGGCATCTTGGCTTTCGAAAAATCTCGACTTCCCTAATTCGTCACTATAAATCTTCTATATGAAGACTCATCAAGTCACAGCTGAAGGTCTAATTAGTTTTCTGTGGTTGGCGTTCTTTTCAGTAGACTTATTTTTCACAAGGTAGATTCGTTAAGCTTACGGTTAACTGTGGTTCTAAAGGACCGGGACTAGCTCTATGCGGACTTACTTATACTCAGTATCATTAAATATTTTGGATAATTTCAGTTGCTTGATTAATATTTTTATTTGTTCATCTTTTTTTCTTTAGAATAGTCCGTTTACTATGGATGACGAATTTAAAAATGTTGAAGCTGAATGCAGTTTACCTTTTACGATAGTGACTGATATTAATGTGAGTACATGTGTAATGTTCATTCTCCTCTTCATCGCCTATCATATTAATCTGGATAGCCAGGATTTTTATGTACTGTCGATATAGTGTAGAATATGGGTACAAACCTAGGTAGAGATAGTTGACATGATTTGGCTTTTATCTAGGAAACCAATAAGCAAACTGAACAACTGTTTTTTCTTAGTATGTAATCTTTAAGTAGTGTACATATATGTGGTGTTTGAATTAACTAATGATTCTTTTGTACTTGTTGAATGCTCGATTTCGAATTCTAAATACAGTACATTCGTTGTGCCTGTGTCTTCTTAATTCAATTGCGTTAATCCTGGGATTCCTAATTCATACGATAATTCGAATACTATATTGGCGTCGCGATGGAGCCTGCAATGGAAAAGTTAGATATTCATTCAACTTCAGAAGCTTTTGAAGATTACTTTGAAAGGTTCGAAATCTGGGCTATGACCAAGGAAGATGATGAGGATGTTAATATTGTGGCACACTTCCTCACATTCATTGGAAAAGAAGCATACAGCTTATTAAGAACTCTGGCTATGCCGGAAAAACTCATTTCGCTTTCTTATACAGCTCTCAAGGATCTACTGCTAGACTATGCTCAGTATACAAATTTCAAATGTCGTAAAGGAGGAAGATTTCGTAAAATGATTCATGAGGATATAAAAAAGTCCACTACATTACTACGTCATCTCAACCTAGTGCATACTCAAGGTTATGCAGACAATTCATTGAATTTGGATGCAGTTCACGAGGATGGGGACAAGTTTGGTCAGTGTTTGTCCTGTTGCAAGTTCCACTCTTCTAATTCATGTAAATTTCATAATTCTAAATGCTTTAAATGTCGTGATATTGGACAAGTTCAGTCAGTTTGTAATGCTAATGTTCATCTTACTGCAATTAATATTAAGTCTTGTAATTCTGATTCTACTGAGTCGAGTATTCATGATGATCATTTATCTTTATCAACGATTTCAAAAGACAGTGCAGAGTCATATGGCAGTTCAGAGTTAAATGAAATCCAGAATTCTTGTGAGACAACATTTCCTAATCAACCGATTTATCAGAATTCTCATGCTATTGTACCAAGTATGACTTTTCCTAATGATTCACATATTTCTAATGAAATTACTTGCAATTCTGAGGAAAATATGTTAAATGAACCTAATCATGATCGAAAACCTGATGTGGTTTGGATAGATGCTGATTTTTCTAACGATCCTACGCTCTGCAATGACAGTCCTGATGAATTTCATGAGAATATTTCAGAAGAATCAAATCCTGATGTCATATCATATATTACCTATCCTCATAATGTATTTGATCTTCGTGAAAAACCTGCCCAATGCGAAGCACGAGTACTAAGTGACCTCGAGTTTTATTATATTTCGGATGATTTCATATCAACTGCTGTTTACTCTTATCACAAAAACAGTTCTAATGTTTACTCTAAACAATGTGAGATATATGTTTTAAATGAAGCCACATTATTCATAACTTGGGAGTATAAAGATCCAACATTATTTCGTGGGGGGGGATAGTGTTGAAAAATCTATGGTTCGAATTCTAGATATTAATGATTTCATTACAAAACCGACATGCTGGTTGTATACAATTCCTGGTGAGTCTGTTCCGATTTCGTTTGTTAATTTCAATACTAATGAGCACTTTCTAGATACTACAAAGTTTTTATCTTATACAATGTCGGACAGACTCAAGATGAACTTAACAAGAAGACGTACAACCGATTATAAACACTTATACTTCTATTTAAGCTGTGGCGGATGTGGTGTTTGAATTAACTAATGATTCTTTTGGTACTTGTTGAATGCTCGATTTCGAATTCTAAATACAGTACATTCGTTGTGCCTGTGTCTTCTTAATTCAATTGCGTTAATCCTGGAATTCCTAATTCATACTATAATTAGAATACTATAATATATTATACTTTCAAGAATCAAATCGTAGACCGTCAACTCGTAGCAAGTATTTAATCTTTAGGAGTTGATGAATTCGGTTAGTTTTAATCTATGTAGACTCAAATACAGATTTGCTTTGGTCCATGTTTTCCTACTAAATCAATACTGTGACAAAATTAAGTCGATAAATAGCTAAGTAATTGATGTCATAGTAGTAGTAATGATAGTATGAATGACAACATGTTGGACATATGATTCTCAAAGGAGGAACATATGGAGGAACACTGAAAATAAAGATGGAAAGGAAGATAAGTAGTAAGTGCATCTGTGCCACTGTATTGAACTTTACACCATATCACCCTGTTCTTCCAACCATTGGTCACGATCACGCAGGCTCCGACTACTGACTCCCTTTAGGCGAGACGTTGGTGAGTAGAGTAATAGACTGAAAGAATACCAACTCTCCACATCGAGATGGGGAAACGATTTCTGAAGCTATTGGCTGTTGGGTTGATCTGGTTCAGAAGTGATCAGTCCCTCTGAATCGATTCAATGTCAAACACAAGAGATTAACGGTTTGCAAAAAAACTTATGGATGCCGGTGAAATATCGTCGACAGATGCCTCCGGTCCACCTGATTCGACTGGTCAAATGCTCTCATCTCGTTTATGCCCTCCCTGCACAATTTCGCAATTCAGTACTTCGTATGAGTTCCGTATAAAAATGAAAATCTCTTCAGGCACTCCATATTTTTGAAAAAATCCACTCTTCCGTATCCTTTCTCATAATCAAGGAAGTTACTGTACAGCGATGAGTTCCATTCGATTGATTGTTCAACATTGAGTTGTAATATCTCGATTCGGCTCGTACGTAATCGATACTTATAAAAGTCTTCACGCTGGTCTCTAGGTTGAGTTACTACTGAATCCTTCGCTCGTTTCAGTTACGCTGTTGCAAACTTTGCCTGACTTTGACAATTGTGTAACCCTTTCTTTGTGGTTCTCAGTTACTAAGATTTACTTTCTTCTCAAGTTTCCTATGAATCGAGTTGGTTCGTTACTTTGACATGGTGATGTCAAATGAATGACGCTAATCTGGTCCTGCATGCGCGTTTCGGAGACGCAGCACACAACGATAGCGCGAGATTCTGAAGTCCTAGCTAAGGAAGCTTGTCGTTCTATTTGGTACAGTGTTCGGCGTTATAAGTGCCAACATGAAGTTTAGAGGAAACGAGGAAAAATCAACCTGTAATTACAAGAGAAAACCAGAAACGGTTTCACAACGATTGTTTTAGTGTACTTATTCTTTTATGAACAACAAATCACGATATCGGAGCTGAAATATACATAATGAAATGGACTACGATTGTGAAAAATAAAGAAGCAAAACACAACACACAAATTAATGTAATCCTACTGGTTCTATCGTAAGCAACAAATATATACGTAAACTGGATAGAAGAAGGGAAAAGAGATAAAATAATAGCGTCCATACACAGAAACCACGTACTAGTGTTTTAAACTAAGAAAGGAAATCAATGTAGACAGGATGGTGAAGTACATTTCTGGGAGATTTTTGGCCGGTAGAAAACGTTTATCTGTCTGAACGCGATAGTGGACTGGGAAAATAAGATAAACGATTTTTAGGCCATAAATAACGAAGTGACCCACCGTCATATAGTTGTGAATTGTCAGTTGGAGATTTTATCTAATTGTAATGCACGAGTTTTACGTTTTGGACGTAATATAACGGGTAATCCAGATGGTGGTCCCATAACTATTTGACTGTCTTGTGATGATGAATCTAAATGGTTTTTGCATACACCTGAAACGCAGTAACAACGCAATGGGACACACGGACGACCAGAACGTCTACAACTACACCGTGCTTGACATGTCCCTCGGCATTTACATCGACGTGTATGTGAATCTGCATTAGATTTTGACTGATTAATGGAAATAAAAATGAATTTATTTAATAACTATTTAACATCACTATGAATATGTACAAATATTGTTAAGTAAATACTTCGACATTAAACTGTAAAGTGAACTCACTCTTGAATTGCTCACCCAGAACACACTTTATATCACATCTCAATTCACGTTTCCATGTCAAGGAGTAAATGGTTGATTCAACGTACAGGAAGTATGAAATAGCTCACGTCAGAACCATAAAGAGATAGAATATGTACGATATATGTATACCTGATTTCAATCAAAGAGACAATTCCGTTCTAAGAAAACAGTTTGGGCCTATCTTAGCTGATGTATTCATGTCATATGTGGGAAAATATGACGAGCGAGCTTATTAGTGCGGCAACTCTATATAGAAGATGCATGGATGATATTCTAATTATATGTGATAAGGATTTTGATGTTTACCGATTATTGGATAAATTCAATGGTGTTCAAGATGATATTGTGATGACATATGAATCAGAAAGTAATGGCCAATTAGCCATTTTAGACATACTTTTAAGTCGAAGGGATGATGGCACTATTAGACGGTCAGTGTGTAGGAAACTAATCTGGACGGGACAATACTTAAATTTCCATAGTTTCTTTCCACTGCAATGCAAAAGAGGTCTGGTTAGGTGTCTCTTTAAGAGGACTTTATTATTTATTTATTTTAACACATAGATATTGGTACAAGGAGGCACCAAATACATATGCGCCACACAAATCTCATTCGATATGTGTGAGGGCTGTGATACTGCCCAGGTGCCCGAACCGAAGCAGGTGGTTTTCCTAAGGCGCCACACCTTGAGCCTTCGACCTGAATGTCTGATCCACAAGGCAGTGGAGCATCGTAAGGAGATGCAGTCCCATGGAAGCCCGTGACCGACAATTGGTTCATACGCCATTTGTTCCTTCAGGATACTGGAGCCCATGTGCACCATTGATTTGGAATCCGGTTAAAGTGCCGGACGTTCGCTTCTCGTCGTCTCATTTTCGTAAGCAACACCCCTGCCACGAGAAGGCAGTGAGTAGGACTTCTCTGGCAGAAGCTATATACGCGTGGCCATGTGAGAGCATTTCGAGAGGGAGAGCGGACTCTCCCCACTTTCGGCCGTACCAAGGCATTTAGAGGCTCATAGAATTTGTACCTCTGGCATGGTGAAAAAAGATGAAAAGTTACTGACTGATACATTAATAGCAAAAGCGCAAAAGTCAGTTGATGCCAAGACCTCTAATTTATTCAGTTCCAAAGAAAAAAAGTTTATATCAATCTACCATATAGAAGCGAATCCAACAGCATAGTTTTAAGACGGAGATTGAAAGCAGCCATCGAGAATACCTATTATTACAATTTCTTATTCTTTCTCTCCCCCTTCGTTACTCTTTCACTTGGACTTTCATTTAATTGACCTTTATTAACTTTCATATAAAAAAATGCCCTGACAAGTATATGTGTGACCAGATTGTTCGAATGTATAGAGCAAATACATCACATTTTTCAGATTAAATCCGTCTTCTCATTGTTCTATTGAAATTTATAAAAGGGACTAATTGCTTTAGAATTCTCTTAGATAAAAATTTCCATGACTCTTATGAAGAACTCAATAAAAAACTACAGTAGAAATGCTATTGGCTTCTATCATCGGCTAATTCAGGTAACGCCTTAGACCAACCTAAACAGATTTCTTTCTAGTTATGGGAGAGAGAAACGAAACTTGTGAATTCAACAAAATGGTCATAGGTGGTACTATATTCATGCATAAACACATACACAAAGCTACATGGGTCTCACCGGATCACACCACACAGAACCAGATTGACCATATTTGTATCAATAAAAAATTCACAATATCAATGGAAGACATAACATCAAGCAGAGAGGTTGATGTTATCAGATCACCACCTACTTGTAACCAAGAGAAAACTGAAGTTAACGAAATGCTTGACAACTGGAGAAGGACAATTACAAAGGTTCAATAGAGCCTTCCCTCGACATACTGACAAAATCAAACAATTCAACAAAGCTCTGGTTTAGTAGGATCAGACTACGATGGAGGATAACTAGAAACGGATCAAAGAAGCATTAACTTCAACGTGTCAGCTGGTTCTGGATCGCAAGAAGTATCATCATAATCAATGGATCACTATCGAAACCCTGGACAAGATTCAAGAACGGAAGAACAAAAAGACAGAAATCAACAACAGCTGAACAAGGACAGAGACAGTGAAGACACAAGCTGAATGCACAGAAACAAACAACCGATTGGAAATGAACATTAGGGCTGACAATCTGACAACTACAGCTTCAACATAAAGAAATATCGGACAACTATATGACAAAGCGAAGAAACTGGCACGGAAATGTAGTAAACCAGGGAGACCGTTTCAGAACAGAGAAGGCAACCCCATCACTGAAATTCAAGGACAGAGGAAAAGATGGGTGGAACACTTCAAGGAACTCTTAAATAGACCAGCTTCATTGAATCCATTGGATATCGAAGCAGCACACATACACCTTCCTATAGATGTCACTCCATCAACGACCGAACAAATCAAGAGTGGGAAAGCAGAAGGACCTGTAAATATACCGGCTGGGACGCATTGTAGTGTCATTGATACTTCGTTCCGTTCGCCGATTTCTAGGCGATGTCGTGATCTCTTCAAACACAAGTTTTAAAATTATGCTAATCGAATTTATTTGTGTAGTCGCATACTGGATAACGCTCCCCTTCAACAAGGCACATATGGTATAGGATTTTTACGTCGACTTAAGAACTTCACAAATGGATTCGAGTACTGGTGTTTCAGTAGAAAACTTATCATTCCAACTTACATTCTCCTCAGATTTTCGTTTCTCTGCGTCCAGTTGGGATTCCAATTTGTATATTTGAGTTTCTAAATTAATCTTAGAAACTTCAGATGACGATGCCTATGAAATAAATAAAAAGAGCAAGAATAAGCAAAATAAAGAACTGTTGACTAGTCAAATCAGATCACTACATATTTATAGAGAATAAATAAGTGGAATTCATATCCTATTGGCATTACTTTGCGAAGCCTGTTTACAGAATCGACATTCTGCTGTAACTTACATCATTAAATTAATAAACCATATAGCACGGACGTATGTTGTTATATGTTTGCCCAGTGACTACTTATATTCAAATGTAGCTTGACAACTTGGACAGATTCATCAATTGGTCAGTCTGGTTAGAAAAGAATAAAAAGTACAACCTACTTGTCTGAATAGATATTTCAAAGCTATTCGTGCTTCTTGGATGCTGTGTAGTTGGGATAAACGAGATGAGAGCATTTGAGCAGTCGAATCAGGTGAACTGGAGGCATCTGTCGACGATATTTCACCGGCATCCATAAGTTTTTGTTGCAAGTCGCTAATTTGTTGTGTTTGACATTGAATCCATTCAGTTAGACTGTTCATTTCTTCAATATACATATCATAAGGTTTACCATCTTGTCGGCAACTTTCCATTCTGGCTTCGATCGTGCGCAATCGATCACACAGTGTTATACGTGAATCCATAAACTGACTCAGATGATATCTAACAGTATCCATACTGATTTGGATAGTTGGTTAGTTGGACTATAGGTAGCATTGTTTTGTACTGAAGTAACGTATCAGAGAAAAATTATGTGAGTAACAATTGACGTTGATAGTCTTTTCTAATGGCTTTCTGAACGTATACAGGAACAGTGTATGACACCACATTAAGTAGGCACAAAATCTTCATAAGTAAAACGATGGGTGTCTCTTCTGAGCATGGTGACAAAACCATGTCGTACTTAATACTGATTTATGATGTGTCTGTTATAGGGTTGACAAATAAGTTTCTATAAACAGAATGGGCAATCGCAGACCAAAATGTGAACAAAGTTATAATGCATATTCTCCAGTAATATCTAAATGGTTCTTACCAATTTTTTTTGCTAATACCAAATGTCTAGACGAAATACTACAAGGGTAAGACACTGAAGAGCGCTGTTTACATGAAGTTCCCAGTGCTTGTTACGACACAGACTTGAATCAAATAACAACTAATAATGAGTTAATTCATGAATTCCTACTGCATTACAGACTGACTCGTCCGAAGTAATTCATGCAGACAACGTGACAAAAAGTGAATGAGCAATGGAAGCAGAATCACAAGTTTCTAGTATTCATATCTCCTTTATGTCACATTAATTAATTACATTTTCTTCATAAGTCAGACTACGCTTGTATGTTGTGACGAAACTAACTTCAGCAATTTGTAAATAACACTGATATGTGTTGTAAAGATTACCTATTATTATTTATTAAAGGAAATATAAATCTCTAATGATTAACCCTGTCTGCAAATAAGAGACTTATAGGTACATTCTGTAACCTGCTATTTGATGGACTTATTGAATGTGATACTGATAACTAAGTCTAATTCTTTATTTCACGACTGCTTTTTTTTCACAATTGTATGAATCCATTAAAGTCGTCAAAGCTTTGTTATGATGTTTACGCCGGTCTACAACTTATGGAATTTGTGATTATGGAAGACCATGTTAAAAACCGGTTTACAAGTTCACGTTAACTGTGTCCCATATTGCCTAGTAGCATTTTTATTCAACTAATGAATTAGTGAAATATAAATTTAGCAACTACACTCATTGTCTTACTTTATAAACCGTGTCCGTATTTATTAATAGTCGATACGACGCTAGAACAAATATAGATGGAGAATAATATGAACTCCTTATAATCCATGGAATGAACAAGTAATGAGATGGATTATGTAATAATTTATTTCACTTTTGAAATTTAGTTACATATTTATTCCAGCACCCTGTCACTTACATCTACTCACTTAATCCTCTGTAATTATGTGACCTCTTCAAATTGTAATCAATTATTACGTAACCCAAGTTTTCAGTTCTTAAATCCACGGATCATTTATATTCAAAAACGAAGAATATTCGAGCGAACAATTGCGTTTCAATAACTTCATCAACAGGCTCTACAGTTATAAGTCCATAATTATAATATTTTACAAAGGCCAAGAATAAGGCATGTATTAATGAGTTTAACAATGTTATGTGTTAAAAATGGTGAACGTTTGCATCTGTTACGATATATATATATATATATACTTCAAAAAATTGTAATATTTGCAAATTAGAAAGGTCATTCAATAAAGGTCAGTAAATTGTTCAGTCACAATAAGATAATAGTACTATTGCAAAATTGAAAATAATTTTGTCAACTGAGATAATAATAATAATAATGTTGTGTGAATATAATATGTAATAAGGGGGGTGTTATCAAGGTAATTACGGTCAACAAATTGGGAATGATGGATATGAAGATTAAGATATAGATAATGACAAATAATGATAATAAGGAAAATAAATAAAAATGAAGGAAGGAAGGAAGGGGTAAGAGGTTTATAATATTCAGTCTAGGTATTTGGTGATCTAGTCGTAGGCCAGGGTAAACATAGAGGCTGGATATATTTTTTCTGGATGCATAAGTTAGGTCTTCTGGAGTTGATCCAGATGGCTTCGGCTGTGTAAAGCAGTCGTAATCTAGCTCCTTGAGGTAGATATTTTGGAACTTGATATAAAACAGAGAAAGCTTCCTCTATTTTAATATGATGTTCACTATCTACCAAGTGAGAAAGAATGGTGCTGTTAATCGATTTGGTGACTCCTTTTCCCAACCATGCTGGTACATGTTCACGGACACGCAAGGATAAAGCCCTCTGAGTACGGCCTATGTAACTAGCTCCACAGGAGCAGTTGAATTGGTATACACACATGGAGGAGCCCATCTTCGGTAGCTTATCCTTGATTAGTTGTGTGAGTACTGGTTTAGTCGAGAAAGTTATGTGTAACTTGGCGGCATGGTCAGTAAGAAGACCTTATATCTGAAACTTGACTTTAAAGGCGACATAGCGGGTGATATTCTAACACGTCGACTCAAAAGATCTGTCGAGAGGACGTTTCATGCCGCCAAGTTACACATAACTTTCTCGACTAAACCAGTACTCACACAACTAATCAAGGATAAGCTACCGAAGATGGGCTCCTCCATGTGTGTATACCAATTCAACTGCTCCTGTGGAGCTAGTTACATAGGCCGTACTCAGAGGGCTTTATCCTTGCGTGTCCGTGAACATGTACCAGCATGGTTGGGAAAAGGAGTCACCAAATCGATTAACAGCACCATTCTTTCTCACTTGGTAGATAGTGAACATCATATTAAAATAGAGGAAGCTTTCTCTGTTTTATATCAAGTTCCAAAATATCTACCTCAAGGAGCTAGATTACGACTGCTTTACACAGCCGAAGCCATCTGGATCAACTCCAGAAGACCTAACTTATGCATCCAGAAAAAATATATCCAGCCTCTATGTTTACCCTGGCCTACGACTAGATCACCAAATACCTAGACTGAATATTATAAACCTCTTACCCCTTCCTTCCTTCATTTTTATTTATTTTCCTTATTATCATTATTTGTCATTATCTATATCTTAATCTTCATATCCATCATTCCTGAATCGTTGATCGTAATTACCTTGATAACACCCCCCTTATTACATATTATATTCACACAACATTATTATTATCTCAGTTGACAAAATTATTTTCAATTTTGCAATAGTACTATTATATTATCTTATTGTGACTGAACAATTTACTGACCTTTATTGAATGACCTTACTAATTTGCAAATATTACAATTTTTTGAAGTATATATATCTATATATCGTAACAGATGCAAACGTTCACCATTTTTAACACATAACATTGTCAAATTCATTAATACATGCCTTATTCTTGGCCTTTGTAAAATATTATAATTATGGACTTATAACTGTAGAGCCTGATGATGAAGTTATTGAAAACAATTGTTCGCTCAAATATTCTTCGTTTTTGAATATTCTATGGGGATTTTTAAACTACTGAGATCATTTATATGCTATAAGATTTTCACACCACTTATCTGTCTATGAACTCCAGTCCACTATTACACCACCCATTCTTAATGTTTTATTGACTGTAAAAACAAATGACCTTTGACCTTAAACTGCATATATATATATGTCATTTCATATACGTCATTTCAATTATTCATTTTCAGGTATGTCAACTGCTTCCCACATCACTGTTAAATCCTAATGCATATTTAGTTATAATGAATGCATACCACTGTTAATCAACATTTCTCATGGTTTCATTTTAATTAATAAGCGGAACTAATCACATGAAGTTAAAATCTACTTAGCTACTGATAATATTTTGATGATAAACGTAATCCGACGAAGGTGAATATGATATGTGGGTGCCTAATATGCAAGACTGTACGTGGATGTAGGGTTTCTTAATCTTTCTTAATTATTACAGGCAGTTACACATGAACATCATTGCTATTCATTCCCATGAAAGTAGGAATAAGATGAAAATTAAAATTATGAAGAAGTTTATTGAATAATCAATGCTGCTAAAGCAGAAAATCAAGTTTACAAGTTGGTATTAAGAATTCTTAAGTATTAATTGTCCACTGTCCTCTCAACTTCCGTTACGAAACGTTCACCATACTTCTCAATGATGCGATGCTTATGGATTCTTTGGCTTCGTTGAATACTTATATACACTTCACTCCGTCGTGGTAATGCAGTTAATGTATTATTTTGGAAGTTCTGGGTATTATGTAACTTCCATCTGCTACAATACCTAAGAAGTTGATGAGCTATGCAGTTAGTATTTCATAATTGATATAGCTTACCTGTTAGACTTCGTCTTTTAACGTAGGCAAGTAGCATGTGACGGCACGGATATCGACACATCATAAACGTGCTACAATTGCATTGACAAATTCTTACATCCACTTCATAATGTTGTCCGCGGTCAACCATAAACAACCAGTCGCCGCTTTCATATTCCACGTAGACGAAACGCATTTGTTTAAGTTCGTATAACACTTTAGATCTTACGAATGGGGTCAAAATGTTTAGCAAGGGTATAAGACGCTGTGGAGCATTATATTTATAAGATCTTCCAGCTATTACTTGATCTTCGATACTTCTTCTAGTTGACGTCATTTCAATCCATTTTAAAGCCTTGTACATACATTTGTACAGACTATCACTTTTTCGTACATATCGTTTTATTTGCCTATTTAGCGATTCAACACGATTATTCGTGCTGTTACTCAATGTTAAAACATGACCGTAAAACGCACGCGTCCATATTGTCTTACGTGCCATCCAAAAACGCGACAAGTACCGACCTCACATCGGCAGGCTTTTCCCTTCGTGTCCAGGCAAACATTACAGTTCGTCCTCGACCCCAATTATCCGTCAACACTAACTAGAATAACGAATATCTACATAGTAAAATACAACGATAAACATATTCACTTTTTATTATTAGTATTATACGTAGAATCAATGCACAAAACTTCTGGATATTTCCTGAACAGTTGTATTTGGTCATTACTACTGAAACATATTCTCGTGACATATCCATTTTCTAAATGTTCTCTCACTTCGTCTCAGCATATCCATTACCTGCTTCCGAGTAAAACAACCTGAAATATATTTATATACACTTACCAGTGGAGAGTGTAACTTTCATACCTTTGACATCGGCAGCTGTTACTTGCTTACCACTTCTCTCCTTAATACTTTCGATAACTTCATCTGCTGACTCACAGTAAAGTATTACGGGCTTCAAGTTCTCTTTTTCTTCTGATGATAATCTCCTTGTCCATGGATCACATACCATCCATGAACTACTACATGGATGATTGTGGAGCATGTTGTAGGATTTGATGACATATCCTTGCTCCTCTAGTCTTACACGGAATTTAGATTGACAATTACGGAATTTAGACCTTAAACATAAGATATTAGTTAAAGACCTTACGATTTTTGCTTCACTTTCAAACCTTCCGATTTCCGTTAATGACCAAACGTACAATTTAACGTTACAAACAGGTATTTGAACCTGACATCCTTTAGCAATCTGCTTTCCGTGTATATGTAACGAGTATAAGTAGACTGAGAAGCGATAAAATTATTATTCCATACTTTTTGGAACTCTTTTAAGGCGCTTTCAAAATCATCCCACAACACGAAACGCTAGTTCAGTATCATACTTCGAGAGGCATCGGTAAGGTCGACTGAAATGTCACTTGAGCATGAAGCATTAAAAACAGACATGACTAATTATTAAAAAGTTATTCCTTGCAACAATAATAACCCAAGGAAATACTACAAATACTTAGGATTTACCTGTGGCCTGACATTTCGTTGAGCTTTACTACGCTTGTTGGGATCAAAGATCAAATTACAAAGAAACAACAGAGCCAAAGTGTACACTGCAAAGCAGAGAATCCTAAATTAATGGTTTTGGTATTTATTTCGTGCTTTTGTATGCAGCATAAGATGAAAAACCTTAATAATCATGCAATCCAACCAACCCACGGCAATTGAAATACGGAAAGACCGCCTCTAGTTAAGCCGTTCAAGGTCGTTGAAACGAAAAGGCGGGCACATTCGAAGGGACCTAACGTTAGGGTTCGGGCATCGTGAAAAGCGACACTGGATAAATACATTCGTCTTTGAAAATGAAGTGCATTACTCGAAGTAGTAAATAAGGGCAGTGTACTCATCGGATTAGGATAACTAAGCAATGCACTGGGATTATAGATGACCTGGAGAACAATTACATGCACTGCCTTACAACTAATACACGCAGTTCTAGCATCGTGGGAGGAATGCTGCTGTAATAGCTCTCTTTCCTGATTTGGTATGTTAATTCCTGCATCTAATTGATCTTCCATCTGCACATGCAGTTGATCACCAAAATCACACATAAGGGATTATATCTGCAACTCAAGGGTAATTTCTCTAACCTTTTGGTTGTCCTGTAAATCGTCTTTGAAATTTCGCCTTTACACAGCATTAGAAATTAGTGCACTCTACATGATTTTGTAGTGGTTCTTTGATAGTTGCATAGAGATGTGAAACAGTCTTATCTGGGAATGCTCAAGTTTATAATAAGCTATAAGCATCCTTTCCATTGAATGTGAGGAAATTAGCCGTCATTTTATCATCCTTAACTTCTTTCCTGGTTAGGCTTCAGATTACAGACCTTTCCATGTAATATTCGAAAACGTCAGGATTGAATGTACATTCAAATATTCTATCAAAGTATCCATCGTGACGTCGATATAATGGTTAGAATTATTCTAATTGACGTGCTTACTAAGAATTCCAGAAATGGTGCAATTTACAGCAAGTAGAACTAGAAGGGCACAAACGAACATATTACATTTGGAATTCGTAACCAGCGGAATATAAAATACAAAAGAATCATTATTTCGTACAAAAGCCACATAATTACAAAATAATCATATTTTGTCACACACATATAGTCATTGGATCGCCTATTTATTGAATTTATAACGCGATACACACTAAGTTACATAGCCTAGTAGGTCGGTGAAATAGTTAGTTTAGGCCAAAAATATTTGTAAGTTGAGCTACGCGGATGGTGCCTCTTCCCCTAACATTATGACTTAAAAAAGTAGGTGGTCTTGTGTTTGGTCACAAATTTGAGTTCGGTTGTCTTAATTTGATCGTTTGAGTACATGCTCATATATTCGTCCTTAAGCCACACTTCAGGTATGATGTATTATAATGCTGCCCAAACTGAAATAGGTGGAGCGATGCACAAATATGTGACCTGGCAAGTAAATGTAGGATACCTTAACTACCAAATTATCCCCCTAGTAAGTTAGAGCTTACATGTATATGTTTGTTTGTCATTCTTATGTTAGTGATGTTCTATTAGAAACCTTTAATTTTACTTTGGCTGTGATCACGAACTTCTTTAGTAAATGCTTTGAGACAAAGCAGGTTTTTCGTAATACTGAAAATCGACCTAAAAAATATAGAGAACTGTCATTTATAAAACCGAGTGTTTTCACAGTCCATGTTCAATATATTTTACACATAATTTAAGCTCACATTTCCTTCAGGTTTTACAAACTTTTCAGCAGTTAAACTTTCTCGAGTGGAATGTTATATAATTCTCTGTTACTTCAATTCTCACATAAATGCATTCTTTCCTATTAAACGTCGACAATTAGATATGTTTAGTTTTCATGAGTTACTATGTTCCTGATAGTTTGTAGCCACTAAATGATGTCTTGTATTCTGTTATGTACCAAAAACATTCCGATTGATGTTATTGTTTTTCATTGAAAGTTTTGTTTAAAAACTTCTATAGCTAGGAATTTATTATCTGTCAACAGCTCTTATCGCTTTGATACTTCTGTACCCTGTACAAATGGAAATTGGCGACACAAGTGTAAAAGTTGGTGTTCGTGTTCGACCATTGTCAAACAGTGAAGTGAATGACGGGAGTTCGACCTGTTTGTCATACTCAAATGAAGAAAATCAGCTAATAATTGGAAATGACAGGCTTTTTGGCTTTGACTATGTTTTCAAGGAAACAGATTCTCAAGAGCATGTTTACAAAAAGGCTGCACTTCCAATGGTTGAAAGTATTCTCAAAGGATATAATGCTACTCTGTTTGCCTATGGTCAAACTGGAAGTGGGAAAACATATACAATGGGTACATGTATCTCTGAAAGTGTGGTAGAAGAATCCGCTGGTATTGTTCCTCGGATTATTAAGGATTTATTTGAGAGAATGCCAAATTATGAGTATGAATATACAGTGAAGGCTTCATTCCTGGAGGTAATATACACATTTTTGTATTAAGTTATTTCCCAGATATATAAAGAGGATATACATGATCTGTTAGGCGAAGATGTATCTGCATCCTTACAAATACGTGAAGAGAATCAACTTGTTAAGGTATTTCCTCACTGCGTATTTAGAGTTTACTGCATAGATCCCAGGCCTAACTGAAACAGTGGTCACATCTCCGGAAGAAGTTCTTTATCTTCTTCACTGTGGCTCAACAAAAAGAAGTGTTGCGAGTACAGCGATGAACTTAAAATCCAGTCGCAGTCATGCCATTCTTACTCTATGTTTTTTGTTGCGGCCAAAGATAACAGAGATGAATGGGGAGAATACAGAAGATACATTAACAGCTAAATTACATTTAGTCGACCTAGCTGGGTCTGAACGAATTAAGAAAACACATGCTGAAGGTGACCGACTTAAAGAAGGTATGTGTATTTTATACGTATCTTTGGATATTTCTACTGTTATCTTTTGGTGGCGTTGTTTTTTTATTACGTGGTCGACATAAATATAGTCCTCATTTGTCTGAGTTTTGTACCATATTTGTCACTGGAATAATATTCCTTCTCACTCGTCTTGTCATTTGCGACTTGGAAGGTTCTAGGGTTCGGGTGCTCACGTAGTACGCGGTATATCAAGTATCTAAGTTCTAGATATAACAACCAGGATATTAAGTTCATCCATTGAGGTAGTCATGGTATGTATTACGCTAACCCAACCAACTTCTTCGACATCCGGTGATATTTAGGGGACGTCAAACAGAAATTTGATACCAGCCCATAAACTCTATTATTATCGGACTATCGTAATCCAAATCAATGGTGCACATGGGCTCCAGTATCCTGCGGGAACAAATGGAGTATGAACCAATTGTTGGTCACCGGCTACCATGGGACTGCATCTCCTTACGATGCTCCACTGCCTTGTGGATCAGACCTTCAGGTCGAAGGCTCGGGGAGTGGCCTTCTAAGATAACCACCTGCTTCGGTTTGGGTACCCGAGCAGTATCACAGCCCTCACACATATCTCATTCAATATGTGTGGCGGATATGTATTTGGTGCCTCCTTGTACCAATATCTATGTGTTAAAATAAAAATAAATAAATAATCTTAGGTGCGGAGAGTGGCCTTCACCCGTCTTTTCTAGTGTATAAATACCTTACGTCAAACTTCAACACAAGTCAGAATAGGTTGAGCTTAGTAACAACATAAAGGTGAATTAAATATGGAATATACAACACTGAAACAACAACTCACCGAAGTGTGTTCAATGTCTCTTCCATATTTATATCTGCAGGACTAACACAAGCAAGCATTAATGTGGTACTATTCCCGCCCAACGAATCTTGAAGTAGGCGAGTTAAACGTGAATCGCGATATGGAATATGCGATCGTTTCTTTGCGTCCCGTTCGCATAAAGCACTTATTACATTACCAAGGGCAAGCAATCCTCTATTTATATCGATACCTGTCGGAAATGTTTGAAGAATAACACCATATCAACTGGGCTAAACAAGTTAATTAAAAAAACTACAGAGATCCTTAAAACTAGTTTTCCAGTGAAGATAAGTCACCTAACTCACTCACCAATTTAAATTTTAAGCAGAAAATCATTCTGTATGATAAGGAAATTTCGCTGAGCAAAGCTTCAAACTATATGGTTTAAATTAAATGTGGTCAGTGACAAATCTTCACTCTTTTTCGCACTCAAGGTTGCAAAATTTAAATATATTACACCTGATAATTTAACGCTTTTTTGTAAGTCTTCCATTGTTAATTTTCTATTATCTTTATGTGTTGAATTGACTCGCTTACACCGAACTCGATCTCAATACAGAGAAGACAGTAGTGACAGGACATCAGTAAACTATACACATCTACTTCCATCGGCCGTCTCAAAGAGTTAATACAGAACAAACTCCTACACTGGATACACACCCCTCGATAATAGTTGGATGTTTCTCCAGAATCACGAATTAAATGGCTTAACTACTTCCAAACGAGTTGCCTGTATCCCTAATTGCACTTCGTTAATCTGAACACTTAAATACGTAAAAAATATGACACACTTATTCACTCTGTAATTTAAGAAAAGTAAGGAGAGTATTCCAGGAACATCACCCTACATTCGACCGGTGGGAGAAAACATAGTATCTAGTTTCATCACTAAAGAGTAAAATTTTCTGCAAACGCTCATATGCTTTGCAAATGACAACAGGGCCTTTGATAGGATAGCAATTTCGTTTAACACCCTTGTCGAAGATAATCTCGTGAAACTTTTCAATCGACTGAGTTAAATGCCACTCACATGTTAAAGAGCATAGTCCATAAGTATGGGGATGAATCCTACTGTGTCAATAACACATTGCTTACTACCTGGGCCTTTCCAAGCGTAACCAAACCTGATGTGATGAAAAAAATTGAATGTCGAGTAACTACTAATTGGTCTGTTTGGCAAGACAAATGCGGACTATATTTATGTCGACCACGTAATAAAAAAAAACAACGCCACCAAAAGATAACAGTAGAAATATCCAAAGATACGTATAAAATACACATACCTTCTTTAAGTCGGTCACCTTCAGCATGTGTTTTCTTAATTCGTTCAGACCCAGCTAGGTCGACTAAATGTAATTTAGCTGTTAATGTATCTTCTGTATTCTCCCCATTCATCTCTGTTATCTTTGGCCGCAACAAAAAACATAGAGTAAGAATGGCATGACTGCGACTGGATTTTAAGTTCATCGCTGTACTCGCAACACTTCTTTTTGTTAAGCCACAGTGAAGAAGATAAAGAACTTCTTCCGGAGATGTGACCACTGTTTCAGTTAGGCCTGGGATCTATGCAGTAAACTCTAAATACGCAGTGAGGAAATACCTTAACAAGTTGATTCTCTTCACGTATTTGTAAGGATGCAGATACATCTTCGCCTAACAGATCATGTATATCCTCTTTATATATCTGGGAAATAACTTAATACAAAAATGTGTATATTACCTCCAGGAATGAAGCCTTCACTGTATATTCATACTCATAATTTGGCATTCTCTCAAATAAATCCTTAATAATCCGAGGAACAATACCAGCGGATTCTTCTACCACACTTTCAGAGATACATGTACCCATTGTATATGTTTTCCCACTTCCAGTTTGACCATAGGCAAACAGAGTAGCATTATATCCTTTGAGAATACTTTCAACCATTGGAAGTGCAGCCTTTTTGTAAACATGCTCTTGAGAATCTGTTTCCTTGAAAACATAGTCAAAGCCAAAAAGCCTGTCATTTCCAATTATTAGCTGATTTTCTTCATTTGAGTATGACAAACAGGTCGAACTCCCGTCATTCACTTCACTGTTTGACAATGGTCGAACACGAACACCAACTTTTACACTTGTGTCGCCAATTTCCATTTGTACAGGGTACAGAAGTATCAAAGCGATAAGAGCTGTTGACAGATAATAAATTCCTAGCTATAGAAGTTTTTAAACAAAACTTTCAATGAAAAACAATAACATCAATCGGAATGTTTTTGGTACATAACAGAATACAAGACATCATTTAGTGGCTACAAACTATCAGGAACATAGTAACTCATGAAAACTAAACATATCTAACTGTCGACGTTTAATAGGAAAGAATGCATTTATGTGAGAATTGAAGTAACAGAGAATTATATAACATTCCACTCGAGAAAGTTTAACTGCTGAAAAGTTTGTAAAACCTGAAGGAAATGTGAGCTTAAATTATGTGTAAAATATATTGAACATGGACTGTGAAAACACTCGGTTTTATAAATGACAGTTCTCTATATTTTTTAGGTCGATTTTCAGTATTACGAAAAACCTGCTTTGTCTCAAAGCATTTACTAAAGAAGTTCGTGATCACAGCCAAAGTAAAATTAAAGGTTTCTAATAGAACATCACTAACATAAGAATGACAAACAAACATATACATGTAAGCTCTAACTTACTAGGGGGATAATTTGGTAGTTAAGGTATCCTACATTTACTTGCCAGGTCACATATTTGTGCATCGCTCCACCTATTTCAGTTTGGGCAGCATTATAATACATCATACCTGAAGTGTGGCTTAAGGACGAATATATGAGCATGTACTCAAACGATCAAATTAAGACAACCGAACTCAAATTTGTGACCAAACACAAGACCACCTACTTTTTTAAGTCATAATGTTAGGGGAAGAGGCACCATCCGCGTAGCTCAACTTACAAATATTTTTGGCCTAAACTAACTATTTCACCGACCTACTAGGCTATGTAACTTAGTGTGTATCGCGTTATAAATTCAATAAATAGGCGATCCAATGACTATATGTGTGTGACAAAATATGATTATTTTGTAATTATGTGGCTTTTGTACGAAATAATGATTCTTTTGTATTTTATATTCCGCTGGTTACGAATTCCAAATGTAATATGTTCGTTTGTGCCCTTCTAGTTCTACTTGCTGTAAATTGCACCATTTCTGGAATTCTTAGTAAGCACGTCAATTAGAATAATTCTAACCATTATATCGACGTCACGATGGATACTTTGATAGAATATTTGAATGTACATTCAATCCTGACGTTTTCGAATATTACATGGAAAGGTCTGTAATCTGAAGCCTAACCAGGAAAGAAGTTAAGGATGATAAAATGACGGCTAATTTCCTCACATTCAATGGAAAGGATGCTTATAGCTTATTATAAACTTGAGCATTCCCAGATAAGACTGTTTCACATCTCTATGCAACTATCAAAGAACCACTACAAAATCATGTAGAGTGCACTAATTTCTAATGCTGTGTAAAGGCGAAATTTCAAAGACGATTTACAGGACAACCAAAAGGTTAGAGAAATTACCCTTGAGTTGCAGATATAATCCCTTATGTGTGATTTTGGTGATCAACTGCATGTGCAGATGGAAGATCAATTAGATGCAGGAATTAACATACCAAATCAGGAAAGAGAGCTATTACAGCAGCATTCCTCCCACGATGCTAGAACTGCGTGTATTAGTTGTAAGGCAGTGCATGTAATTGTTCTCCAGGTCATCTATAATCCCAGTGCATTGCTTAGTTATCCTAATCCGATGAGTACACTGCCCTTATTTACTACTTCGAGTAATGCACTTCATTTTCAAAGACGAATGTATTTATCCAGTGTCGCTTTTCACGATGCCCTAAACCTAAGGCAACGCTCCTAGGGTATCGTCCACTGATGGGGGTTGCGAGCACTTGAAGGTCAAACTGTCGCAAAATGATTGGTGCGTCATATCGACAATTCGTGAAAATTTTCAGAAGCGGTCAAATCAAGACATTTTTAGATTTCAATTGAGATCGGCCACACTATGTCTAGTAACGTTCATTCTTGAAGTAACGAAGACGATGCCATCGTGATGATGCATGATATAGGTAATATGACCTCTGTGGTTAGTAATTATTTTTTTTAGTATACGCATACTAAGTACGTTATGTCAGTATACAAAGAGAACAGTGATGATCCAACTCTAAAGTACTTTTTCGTGATATGTCTGTACATATGGACGTAAACGCAGTTCGTCAGAGTCAGATGCTTGCGTTCAGGATGTAGATGATGATAGTAATAATCATTCTTCTGAAGAGCTTACAACTTAAGTTAGAATTCTAACTCGCCAACACAACCTAGGCAAAGGAGACGACGTCGGTCATCTACATATGCCTTACTTCAAATGAATTTATCCTTCAGGTCGAAATATTGCGTTTCAATGACTACATGCTGCCCTGTGGTCATATTTTGTATGCACATTCTAAAGGTATGTGTGTTCCTTTATCTCTATAAGTTTTGTAGACTTATTTCGACATAGCAACAAGTGGACAAGAAAATACATAATGGACCTGGTTCTTCGTGCGCTGGACAACATCTCAATCTCTACAGGGAGTGATGATCTGCTAGTGAAGTTCACCAGCAACTAGCACTCAATCCATGCTCTTAGTGAACCTATGGCAAGTAAACTCATCCGTTCGTGGCTCGAAGCATCGGAAGACATATACGGACAAGTGATGAGTTCAATCGGTGCTAATGACGAAACTAAAACGTCAGAATCCATTGTTAATACAGACCATAGCTATGCTTCTTGATAACAAGAAGTTCTAATATTGTAATCCCCTTAGTTTTACATAAATTCATTTATATGGCCATTGACTTATTCTTATAGCGTAACGGCAGGGAGTGTACTGTGCAGTCTTATGTGGCTGTGAGACAGGGATGTTGTTTCGCGTTCTTGTGTAATAATTACCAGTTTGGCGCACACGCGATTAGTTATACAGACCGTTTACCAAATACTGCTACCTTGAACATGGTGTACCATACTAGTAGTTCGGATTTCGACGTGTCACGATAGATAAGAATTGCCGTAATTAAGAGACTGGTGCGTTATAAGTGTAAACGTTTATTAAAGTTTGAATCTAGCACAAATGATCCATTAATAAATAACTTCTACTTCTCAGGAATTGTTCCCGTTAGGTCTGTGAACGCTTGCGAAGCTAGCTGGAAATAAGATAGACAGGAAAGTTATTTCAGTATAAATGTTTACCAGAAACTAGTATAAAAACGGAAACCAGTATTCAATTACAGATCGGAAGTGCATTTAGCACACCCTTCCTTTGGATAGTCAATCACGCTTATTTCCTTTATCTCTTGCGTTGCTTAGGAAAGTCTGGGTCACAACATACACGGATTGTATTATTTATTTGTTTGGGCAGGTTGCACTTCGGACGATGAACATATATAAAGACTACTGTGTGAATTTACTTTCAATCGTCCTGTGTAACCTGAAATTCTTGATGCATATTCTATTCTAGTCCCACGTAAGTTATGAGTAATTGTCATTTACGGCATCAGCACGTAAGCTAGACAGGCCTTGGTTGATTTTCGAAGATCATCACATAGGATCTCACACAATCTGGTCACCTTAGATCAAGATATCTTGACTATCGAATCGTACTTTTCAGTGCTTTCTCGTAACAGCTTTATATCAGTACTTATTTCTGATATTAGGTATGTGGTGGACCAAAAAGTATAATAACCAAAAATCAGTGATAAAGTTATTACGTCCAAAATTAATGTAACAATAATAATTTATAAATTAACAACACAAATTAAAAGTTCAGGGACGTTACTTAAATCGGCTAGTGGTTGCGTATTCTGTTGAGTTTTGGTCCCATAAATCCACAATTATAAATGTGTAATAATTCCACGGAGGTAAATATGACACCAATAAGTTTCTTTGACATGGGATATAATGGAAATGACACAGCAGTCTAAAATGAGGATAATATCCAGTTTAGAACACAATTGACTCGGTAGCGAGCGAGAATAGAACAATGGGTATGTGCGTAGTAGTGTATTTGCGAACCACCGAAAGTATGTCACGCTATGTTAGTAACACAACGGAAAAAGTCTTCAAGGTCATTTACTTAAACAACAGGTACAATCATTTAATGATAAATGTACATTCAGTGAGAAATTGGCAAATACAAATAATATTAAAAACTATTTACAAAATAAGCTTGTCAGATCTATCTCCACAGGTATTTTTGCAATAATACCGGCAGCCAAAACATTGTAGCTCCCCAGACAACCCAAAAAGGGAAAATAAAGGGGTAAATGCTTTGGTAGCGAAAGGGGAAAACACATCATAATGTCGCATTTTTCGCCTTTCCAGAGGAAATAATGTGGATAAATTACTCACTTTTCGCCTAAATGTCCGCCAAATTACCGAATTTTCGCCTAACTGTCCGCAGAATTGTTTACTTTTCGCCTAAATGTCTGCTGAATCGTTTACTTTTCGCCTAAATACAAACAGAACTCCCTATTTTCCATCCATTGACATAACCCCAAAGGTCTACTATGTTCACCTTTATTTTCAACAACAGACCAAAATAAATCTGCAATACAGTGAAAGACCGGCATGTTTTTGAAAAATTTTATTTAAAAGGTAAAGCGTATTATTGTACAACACTAGAGCAGAAGCTTAAGCATCGATTGTTTTGCATATCCAATGCAATTGCTAATTCATTGTTATTTGAAATTATCTGCAAAAGAAGAAACACGTGATGTATTATTTATAAGGAATGTGCATTTATTCAAAAGTTCACTGACACTCAAACACACATTCTCAACACTTCTAAAGTTTCCCATGTAAGTAAAAAAGTAAGCTGTTTGAAAAATATTTATTGAAATGTAGGTAGAACATCAAAACAATCGCACGGCTATTGAGAATTGAGGTAGTCGTCCCGTGAATTCAAATTTATTCATAATGTATTTCGAAATTTGGTTGTGCACAAAGCAGAAATGAAAAAGTAGAGCAAAAAGTGTCGCCATACCCCTGGAGCGCTGCCTAACCCTAACGTTAGGTCCCTTCGAATGTGCCCGCCTTTTCGTTTCAACGACCTTGAACGGCTTAACTAGAGGCGGTCATTCCGTATTTCAATTGCCGTGGGTTGGTTGGATTGCATGATTATTAAGGTTTTTCATCTTATGCTGCATACAAAAGCACGAAATAAATACCAAAACCATTAATTTAGGATTCTCTGCTTTGCAGTGTACACTTTGGCTCTGTTGTTGCTTTGTAATTTGATCTTTGATCCCAACAAGCGTAGTAAAGCTCAACGAAATGTCAGGCCACAGGTAAATCCTAAGTATTTGTAGTATTTCCTTGGGTTATTATTGTTGCAAGGAATAACTTTTTAATAATTAGTCATGTCTGTTTTTAATGCTTCATGCTCAAGTGACATTTCAGTCGACCTTACCGATGCCTCTCGAAGTATGATACTGAACTAGCGTTTCGTGTTGTGGGATGATTTTGAAAGCGCCTTAAAAGAGTTCCAAAAAGTATGGAATAATAATTTTATCGCTTCTCAGTCTACTTATACTCGTTACATATACACGGAAAGCAGATTGCTAAAGGATGTCAGGTTCAAATACCTGTTTGTAACGTTAAATTGTACGTTTGGTCATTAACGGAAATCGGAAGGTTTGAAAGTGAAGCAAAAATCGTAAGGTCTTTAACTAATATCTTATGTTTAAGGTCTAAATTCCGTAATTGTCAATCTAAATTCCGTGTAAGACTAGAGGAGCAAGGATATGTCATCAAATCCTACAACATGCTCCACAATCATCCATGTAGTAGTTCATGGATGGTATGTGATCCATGGACAAGGAGATTATCATCAGAAGAAAAAGAGAACTTGAAGCCCGTAATACTTTACTGTGAGTCAGCAGATGAAGTTATCGAAAGTATTAAGGAGAGAAGTGGTAAGCAAGTAACAGCTGCCGATGTCAAAGGTATGAAAGTTACACTCTCCACTGGTAAGTGTATATAAATATTTCAACATCGCAAACAATAACGCCCTTGAATGAAGCTATGGAATTGCAGCTTCATAAACTTTGAGTTAGCAACAAATTGAATGTATGTAGTTTTATGTTCTTCATCCAAATCCACTATTATCGGACTAAAATATTACTAGAAGTCGTGTATAGTAGTAGTAGTAATGATGAAAATAATGTAGATATTCTGAAGTCAGTAATGGTGTTGACCATTCAGTACGCTCTTTTAGAAGACCTCTCATATGAAGATAGTGTTGAGCTGCATGTGTTTCAAGAAATCCTGAAAAAATTGGTATAAAATTCTGATATTTTCACAATTTATTTGATTCGTTTATTCACATATCTGATGTAAAATTATGGCAGTTTCAGTGAGATCAGATTCTATTGTTTTCAAACAAGAAAATTTCAAACGATTGCTTCAGAGATTAACATCAGCTGAATTACTAATGGAGACTGACAAAATAAGTGATTACTGTTATATCCGAGCGAAGACTAAATTACGGGTAACTTCCGAGGACTATTAATTGAATAAAATTCTATAAACATTCTTATTGCGTAACTATTCAACAATTACAGTATGTATATTTATATTCCTCTTATTATAAGCTTTATTTTGACCTTTATTTTATTATTGTACGATCTACGGTTGTTAAGCTATGTTCAGTTTATTAACTACTGCCTCCCGCATTCACAGCCACTTTTTGGGCTTATTTGTGTACACATGTTATTTCCTATTTTATGGTACGTTGTGGTCTGTCTGATTGATATATAAACCGAGTGTGTCTGAAATAAACGATCTGATCTGATCTGATCTGATCTGATTCGATTCGATTCGATTCGATTCAT